TAACCCTGAGAAAGGTCCAAGTGTGAGAAATATTTCGCACCAGCAAGTGCGTCAATAATATCCTCGATATTAGGCAATGGAAATTTGTCATCTTCGATTACAGTATTCAATTTCCTGTAATCGATGACCAGCCTCCATTTCTTCTTATCCCCAGAACTCTTCTTAGGGACAAGTAAAATGGGGCTGTTCCATGCCGAAGTAGCTTTTTCAATAATTTGGTCGTTGACCATTTTTTGGATTTGCTCTTCCACTTCGGTTTTTTGCATATGCGGCAATTTATAGGGTTTACTATAAATTGGCTGTGCTTGTGGATTAGTTTTGATGACCGGACTGTAAATATTAGTTACAGTTAGATGGTCATTTTCGAGACAGAATATGTCAGCATATTTAGAGCAAATCTGTTCTATATGCTGCTTTTCTGATTTAGACAAATGATCTAAGTCAAGTTCTTTCAGAAGTTGACTTGATCTATCTGACTTAAGATCCTTGAAGTTGGTAGGTAAAACCACATAATCGCTTGCAGGTTTGATTATTGGTGTTAGTTTCGAAATTTGTACGGGCTTATTTTTTACGTTTACCATCCGAACAGGTATTTTCCCATTCGATGGCTGTACAATAGCGTTTGCTATGAAGACATGTGATTGTATTTCCTGATTCAATACAACACATGTGTCGGTGAAGTTCGTTTCAATAAATTTAATCATTTCCGTTCTAGCCGGAATCGTAAAATATTCATCTCTCGGTTCAGTAAACTCCATTTTCATTCGGGCAAAGTCAATTGTTGCTCCGAATTCTTTTAAAAAATTGGTGCCTATTAATCCCACAACGTGAGATGGCAATTGGTCCATAACATGGAACCTTATTGGGTAACTCTTGGAATGGTATCCTAAAAAGGTATCTACAAATCCCAAGGTGCTGGTAATACCGTTTACCCCACTTACTTCCAAAGTCTGTGTATTATTAATAATTACATTTTTTTGGTACATACCTCTTATCAAGTAGACAGCAGGAAGCTCCGCTATCTACTATCAATTCAAGGTTGGTGTCGAATAGTGAGAAATGGGCCCTCAAAGCCTTTTCCGCATTGAAATTAGCGAAAAAGATCGATGAGATTGGCCTCTTCCCCTTGGGGTTGTTGTTGGTTGTTATTTCTTGGCTGGTCTTGGGGTCTCTGTTCGGCTACATTAGCGGCTTGTGGGCCGTAGTGTCCACGCTGCTGATTGTAGTTATTTTGTTGGAATTGATTTCCACCCCGGTTGGACCTTTGTCCGTTTGGGTTCTGGTGGAAACCTCTTCCCCTGCTTTCGTATTGTGGCTGGTGGTAACCTCTCCCACGGTTACCCCTACCACGGTTGTAGTTGTCGTAGTTATTGCTGAATCCTCTATTTGATTGGAAGCCCCTACCACGCCCTCTGTGGTGGTACTTTGGTCTTCCTGATGTGCACCATAGTGCCATCATGTTGTCCTGCGATCCCGAGTTGCCTGGAGTGACTTGACATTCCAGCGCATCTGAGATCGCTTTGTTTAGGGTCGCTGGGTTGCGAGCCTTGATGAAAAATCTTGTCACTTGGTCTTTCAACCCATTTGTGAATGCCTGAACGGCAATTGGTTCTACGATGTTCGCTGCCGCGGCTTCGCTCGCAAACGTACCCGTTGATACGTGTGCGGCTGCCAGCTTTGCAGTAAGCTTTTCAATTTCTGCTCCGTAATCGGAGATGGACTTATTACCTTGTTTCTGTGTATTCATTTCGTTCTCCACCGCTCGTGGAGTAACCCTTATGGCAAACTTTTGCCGTAGAGCCTGTAGAGCTAGCGCGATGGTTGCTGCGTTGTCAATAGCACCATGCGCCGCTCCGACTAATGTTGTTTTTAAAAACTTCAAGATGGCTGCCTCCGGCACATCCTCCGCATAGTCCTTTAGTAGTTCTACGCTTTCGATGTATCTTGTCAACCCGGTGACAGATCCGTCGAAAGGTCCAACCAACTTAGGGGCCAGCGAAAGATCAAGTTTCGGCGCCATCTTTGTAATTTTCTGTTGTATAATTTTCCTTAAAGCTTGATATGTGCTATTAAGCTTTTCTGTGTATTTATTTTGTTGGGCAGGATCTAGTTTTCCCTTTATTTTTAAAATTTCAGAGTTAGCCCTCTGGAAAATATCAGCGCAGTACTCTTGTTTCTTAACAAGCGTTCGGTGTTGGTATATCCTGGTTGGGCTCTTCTGCAAATTAATCAAATTTACTACTAGGTAGCCAATCAACTCTTCGATGCAGAGTATCGCACTTTCCATGAAAGGAAATGAATGCTCTACCTGCTGTTATTTAAGTTAAAAAAAAAATACTTCCATAGTTACATAGGTCATTTGGAAATGAATATATATATATGTAAGACTATCGGCTCACACTCTGTATCACATTTCTCATGAAAAGGAAATGACTGCTCTTCTTTTGGTCTTCCTTCGTTTTCTAGGATTTCATCTTTGTTGTATTTGTTTCCTAAAACAACAAATGAACATGTATTACAAACAAGATATATATCAAAATTAAACTAACTAAAAAAAAAAAAATACTTCCCAACGTATCTCCTTGTCAGGTGTCTGTGCCGGGTTGTCGATTATTAGCGGTTGCCTGTTGATCGTCGGTGGAGGTCTGCATTTCCTTAACCGCGTCCAATGTCATCTTTAAGCCGTTGTAGGCCTAGTTTAATTCCTCAATCAGTCCTGGTAATCTGGGTCTCAGTGCAGCTCCTGCTGCCAGTTTATACACGGTTTCTATGCTCTCGCACTTCGCGGCTATCAGTTCAAATATCACCTTTACCACTGCGGGGAATACGTTCCCAAAATTGTTTTTTTTTTTTTTTTTTGTTCAAAATGTTCGATCGTTTGGGCAACGATATGATAGTCAATACTATTTACTCCTGACATGGTTATTATTTTTGCATTTCCGCGTAACGTAATTATCCGGTTTATCACTTCATTCCGTTTATTCCATACTGTTCAAAAAAATCGTCCTTTCTTTTTTTTTTCTTCTTCTTTGCACACTTACGCCCCTGTTTCTAAACTTGTGCATTAACGCGGCGTGCCGCTCTCTCGGCGACACGTTCGGTGTTGTATCGGCTCACCTGCGCCACTGCCTTAAAAATTAGATATCCGGCGGCAAAAACCGCCATGGCACACAGCGCTACCGTTTGGGCTGTGTGATTTCCGCATTGGGCCCCACTCGCGGCTGCTGGTGCGGCGACGATTTCGTCCGCACTGAACCAGCCCATTGTCACTCGCGGTTTTAACAAGCGGCAATAACGAATTCGGCAATAACGAGACCTGACTGTACACTGGCTTGCTGTCAGGCTTTTCTTAGTAAAACTAAGATTTTGTCACTTTCTTCACACTCGCTATGTTACTGTTCTGTCGGTCGTAAATTAACTTCCACTCTAATCGCGCCTGCTTTCTTACGTTAGCGCTCAACCACTTAGTGCTGTACGTCGCGGTGGCCGTCGTGCTTAATCACTTAACTGGTTGTTAGATTTTTTGTTCACTTTCCCACTCGTGGCGGTCACCCGTGATTGAATTATATGTTTCGCGATCAGTCTTTTGCTTCTCTCAGAATCTGGCAGGATCACCATGAAATGATATGATAATTAATTGCCCTTTTTGTGGGGGGCTTATGGCTTCTTCAGTTCTGGTCTTAACGGCCCGGGACTACCATTCCAGTTCAGCTACAAAACTCGACTCATTTATTCATTAATTCTTTAGCGAGCGCAAGCTCGCGGGCTGTGGTGCCTACGTGACCCTTTTCGTCGCATCAGCATAAATGCGTTCATCGCCCGGGTGGCGTGATCGCATTTATGCTGATCCTCAATGTTTATAATCGCTCATGGATAAATATCCGGGCTCGCGCAGGGTTGGCATCCACCACAACAGTAAAGAGTGTCTGAAAAAGCGGATTTTACCCTTCATTCGGAAACACAAGACCAACGTTATGTTTTGGCCGGAGCTAGCCAGATGCCACTACTCTAAGGAGGTACTAGAATGGTATGCTGCAAACAATGTTAATTTCGTCGTCAAAGACATTAATCCTCCAAATTGCCCTGAGTTCAGACCGATCGAAAAATATTGGCCAATTGTCAAGCGAAAACTTCGAGGATGCAGTAATGAAGTGACAAATGCACGACAAATGCGTTTAAAGTGGAATAAGTTCGCCGGTACAGTGTCACCAGCGACTGTGCAGATCTTGATGGCATCAATCACAAGTAAAGTGCGACAGTTCGTTCGAAACGGTGAAATGTAATAACTTGTTGTATATCGTTTGAAAGCCGAATAAATACCCTTTTGTTTGACGTTTTGATCAAACGTGTATGCTGTTTAATTCTTTAGTTATGATCACTTGAATGCGTCCAAATTTACTTTCAATCGGGTTTTAATTCGGACAAACCATGAAAAGTCTGATCTAGAAAAGAGATTGTCTGGATGTTTGGATGGTCCTTAAAAATCTGGAAGATTCCAGATAAATCTGGAAGGTTGGCAACACTGAGAATGTATACTGGTACCAGCGTTGCCAAGGCCAGGGTTTTATCTTAAGCTCTGCCGGACAGATTTTTTGAGAATTGCCTATGTTGATTTGCTGTGCCAGATTTTTGCCAGACGCTTATGTTTTGGGTTTTGCTAGATTTTTTTCAAAATAAACCTGGCATCCCTGACTGGTACATCTAGTTCCTTCAGGTTGACTCTTCATTCTTTAAATGATGTTGACAGCAAACAGTTGCTGATTTTCACCCCTGGAGAATTTAGCAGGGATAGCCTTAGACGTGAATCATGGAAGAGGCTTGAAACCTCGACCAGTTCACGACAATTAAATCAATGAATGAGTGCATCCATAGCTTGATAAATTTTGGTAAAAAGGTTGTCGAATTATTTGAAGATGATTATTGTCTATGAATGGCAATGTCAAATCTAACAAATACAAACTTTCAGCATTATTGCACTTTATTGGAAACTTCCAAAGACTCTACTCCAAGACTAAGCTGTTCATGATGCGCATGTAGTCTACGAACCTCGCCGCTACTTTACCCTCAGAATCCAACAAATCGAACGACAATCGCCAGTAACCGGGATAAAGCACTGGTGGTATCCAGTCCCCTTCCGGAGCAAAATCCTTGACCCAGTAGTGGCCCTTCGGAAACGGACAAAGCCATTCATCGCCAACCGATGGCAAATTCGTCCAATTCACGAAGTACTTCTGATACTCCTTGTACTCCTTGTTGAGCACATTGCATACCTTCTGCTTGGCAATCTTCATCGGATACTGGTTGAATTGATTGTTGCCGAGCCGGCTGAAGGCCGCCGTTACGGTGAATGAGTACTCATTCCCAATGTCCACGAACAAGTCCCCTTCACCGTCCATAACCCACGATGTTCGGTTGAACTTTCGCACCCGGATCCCAGTGGCGTTGAACAGGTTGAATCCCAACTCTTGCTCGAACCGTTCCATTTGCAGCTTCATCTTTGCGGTCGCACTTGCTACGACGAACAGCAATGCGATGAAATGGACTAGCTTGCGGCACATTATGGAAGAGAATGTGAGCTGCGACTGCCGTGGTTCCAGACATAAAAGCTTTTTTTTGTTGCACATGATGAGATCGTATCTTTTTGGACAAATTATACCTACCCATGATATACCGAAAAGGAAGTTGGATTTGGATTACAGGTTGTAAGTTTGTCGTTATTGATGGCTCCTCCTCCGGAAGTTATTGTTCGATTTTGCGGCTGCTCGCAAATTGACAGTTAGACCACTTAGACAATAGATTTGAATGACATTTTGTCGCAACGTATCATTAACGGATGCAATGTGCGTGGGTCTTAAGATATGATCTCCTATGTTTAGGTTTTCTTCTCGGATTTAAAGCGAAGACATCAAATCAGACAGGCAACTCTGTTAGAATTCAAGCGACAGATACAGTAGCGCTTCGCTCGAGCGAAAGTGGAAGTAACGCATAGAGAAATGAGCAAATACACAAACCTTTCTTCTGAGGTTGTAATATTTACAATCAAATTTGTTCGAAGCATTTACCTTTGCACGGTAGATGACGCGACTGTGACGGTTTCATAGCGGTTGTATGAGAAAATGGAAGAGTTGTCAGTCTTCTTGGTATGTAGTATTCGTTTAAACGGTTCTTGTGCGAGGAATCGGTCAGTTGGATCCGGAATTATGGCCGTAACATGTTTCATCATACGAAAAGTAAAAGCACATGAGAATTAAAAAAAAAAAACAAGATCAATTGGAGCCATATTGAGTATTGGCCACACCCGGACATGTTCTGAGTGCCCCTGGTGATTTTGAATAATCACACTGTAGGAGTCAAATGTTTTCATAGTTTTGCTTTCCTTTTAGTACCATTAGAATACATACTGGTTACATTTATGTCCTTGAAACCCAGTTTCGCTTGTTTCGAGTTGTATCCAGACGTCCAAGGAAAAAGTCATTTCCGAAGGATTTTGAATATCTGCAAAATCTAAGAAGTTTTTCGAGCTACCGAATCATGAAAATTATCCGAAGGCTGCTTCAAGACCTTTGAGCAGTTCCAGTGATGAATCGATCAGACTCGATTTCCTATGTTATGTTAAAGGGAAATTTCCATTCTAAGTCTAGCAGTTGAGCGAGGAGGATTTCTATGAAAGTGATAGCAAGGTCTATTATCTAACTGCAAAATTTACGTCAACGGAACGCAAACAGACTTAATGGGGGTGGCCCTTTAAGGTTGATGTCAAGGACAAGAACCACAGTTCATCAAGCAAAGCGCACATTTGATTCACCAAAAACTCTTCTTAAAGCTTTAACAAAACCTCTTTATTTGAAATACAAGCTCAACACAACATAACCTCATTCTACTCATTGTGCATTATCATCAGGCCGGTTCGACGCGCATCTTCGAAACCACTCCGGCAACGACTTTCTCTTCCTTGGTCAGATAAGCCTCCATCTTGAAGTGACCGTCCCTCATGAATGCTTTGTACTCTTCTCCGTCGAAGGAGTAGTCCTTGAACCAGTAGTCGTTCGGTTCCAGCGGGCATGTTTCGTAGTGCGGGAAGTTGCTGATGTCCTTCAGTTGATCGTAGAAATACATCCGGTAGATCGAGCCTAGGTACTCGCAAACGGGCTTTTCTATACCGATCAGTTCTTCGTACTCAAGCGGCTCCGGGGAGTCCAAATTGGCACGACTCAGCTTCATCTGTATCCCGTACCCGTTGTCCAGTAGAATCAGCTGGCTGATGAAACCGGACATCGAGAAGGCAGTCTCGGATTTCTTTTCCACCGTGTAGTTGTACCGGAAGTACTGCTCCGAACCGTCCACCATTTCAACACCTTCGAAGTGCATTTCCAAGTTCTAATGTATAACCTCTCCAAGTCAGAGTCAGTTCTCAGATGAAGCTAAATGAATCACTTACCTGTTCATCGTCGGCCCAAGTTGAGCCAACCAAAGCTATCAGAAGCAGTACTCTCGTCACACAAGACTCCATTTTGAGTTGAAATCCGGAAACTTTCACTTGAAACTACCTAATGGAATTACAGGCTACTCAACCTTCGCTATTTAACCGATTCCGAGTCCGGAAGTCGCTGGCTTGTAGATGCATCGATTGGTAGCAATAAAACCACAACATGTATCGGACGCAAGCTTTCGATGGATTCACTCACGCAAAAGCTTCCCTTATCTCCAATATTCTATCGATCAGCGAAGCGGTTAACAACGCGAACCGCTCAACCACCGAAGTCAGTTCAAGTTCTCTTGTCAAGCCGTAAACATTTTGCCCGCGCTGTGTCGCTTCCATTCGCGAATCTTCTTGAGTGGTCTATTTTGAAATCCCTTTGACGTCTGCTGCTAGGTCATATTTATCGGATTAGGTTGAACGCTATGAAGTGGACGGTTGGGATTACCATTGTATTCGTGGGATTATTGGCGACGGGAACATCCGGAATTGGCATTCCCTCCTGGTCGCAAAATTGGCCCCTCCTGAGATATCTCTTCATGCTCCGAACGGGCATTCTGTTCGAGGACTGTGGTAGGTTTTCTGGGGAACCTTGGATGACGCAGCATAAGATTGCAACATTCCACTATCAATCATCCGAGCGGGCGTCGGCTCGGGCGACTGCAGCCACAGCTGTCTTGGATGATGGATCGATGTCAGCTCGATAAGCGACTAAAAATTACCACCTACGACGCTATTACAATTCGCATTCATTTATGTTACGATTCAATTAAATTCAATAAATAAACTATCGTTCAAACTTACAGGCTCCCGTTACGATGTCATCTCGATTCGTCTGTCCAGCTGTTCCAGCACACCGTGCAGCATGCCGCGTGGGATGAACGTGACCGTCAATGCCGAATTCAGCTCCAACGGTAAGCATGCAGTCTGACCCACTTTAAACAAAACCCGAAGCACACGAAATCACAGTTTACAACCCAATCGAAGCAAAAGGAAAAGTTCTCGATGGGCTGCAGCCGTAATAAACTTTCTATTTGCACACCTTCACTACCGTCTATCAACAAGACTCTTTTGTTGATAAAGTAGTAGCCATAGTAACGTAAAAGCAAATATTGACCATAGCCGCCTTCTATTTCATATCCCACTTCAGGGTCTCCGTCGATGCCATCGCTCATGCATGAGGCTTTCTTCATATTGAATGCGATCAAAACCAAAGCTTCCATCACGCCTACTACGTGCGAAGGCGTGGCCTGCCCCCTGCAGGGTGACATCGGCCTACTGTTTTCCGCTTCGATCTACGTAAGCCCTTCGCTGCCGATGGTGAGTACCGAATGGGGGAAAATTTCCGACTGGGATGAATTCTAACGGTTGCCATTTTTTTTTTCAAATCCATTATCAGCTTCGCGGAAAGCTTCGCTGGGAGTTGAAAAACGATAAGAAAGAGATTCTGCTGTGCTATCAGCTTCCGATTTCGATTAGCTAGAGCTTTGCTGCTAGCGGCGGTGACGGCGTGGGTGCCATAATTATAGCGAAAGCTGCCATTTGATGATGGGCCGCTCTCTGACTCGTGGATAGTTTCTTGTGTTGACGTTGTGGCGGCGCTGCTTATGCGCTTTTGATTAAGTGTTATATACTCGGTTTTATGATGTGTTTCTAGTCGTTTGGAAATTATTTTCTGCTCAAAATATGAGAAATGTGATTAATTGTGCAGAAGTTTGTTGTTATTTGCTGACGTTTTGAAGAATTGTTTACGAATGAGGTATTTAAGGGTCGTTTGTTTAATTCGTGTTGGGTATTTTAGTTATACGTTGTATCCGGAGCCCGTGGACGCAAAGCGTATATTCGTTATAAGTCAGGTTGAGGTAACAGAGGTAATGTTCTTTAGAGATCATACAAGGCAGGTAATGTATCAAACATTATCCAGCAAACATTGTTATAAAACTGGGGGAAAATCGAGAGGGACGACTCTATCTACGATGCAGGAAAGATTGTGTTTTGCTGTGGCTAGCTCCGTGCACGCTGAGTAGATAGAAAGAAGATTGAAGACAATTCTGAAGATTTCCTGCAAAAATATGAAAGAAGATTTTTTGAAGATTGATTCGCTAGTTGGAGATTTGTTAAGCATCTAGACTTGAGATTTAGATGTTGTCGCCCCTCTCAGGGAAAATAATTGTTATGTATTTGAATGGTAAATAGAACAAAGGAAACAAAAGAATAATAACCCATATTCTTGTTTTCGTTCGAACCGTATTTTCCATACCAAAACATATTTTTTTCTGTATGGAAAATACGGTTCAAACGAAAACAAGAATAAGGCTGTATAGCTACTATAGCGTTAAGAAACTTATTTCGCATGGGTATACAACTGAAAAGTTTGGCACGACCATTGCTTCTTGAAGCCACTATTGCACAAACTTTCTTGCGTAATATTTTATAGGTGAATAGTATCAGGCCAAATATCGAAAAAATACCTATACATATTGTCATACCTTGGTTAAATAACTTTGATATACAGACGAAGACGTACGATGACATTGTGGGCGTGTTGGAGACTTATTTCAATCCAGAGCCACTGGAAATTCTCGAAAATTTCCGCTACAAATGCCGGAAGCAGGGAGACGAACGTCCAGAGGAAACCATCGACGAGTACCTGATAGCTTCACGCAAGCTGGCTATCACCTGCAACTTTGGGGACTATCTGCATACAGCCCTGCGGAACCAGCTAATTTTCGGATTGAAGGACCGGGTGATACAGTCCCGACTATTTGACGTACCATTGTACGTGTCGAATGTCCGGAAGCATCCATTGCTGGGACGCCAGTGGATTACAGGGATGCAGATTGATTTGAACGACGTAGCGCATTCAGATGTGCATGTGCTGGACAGTTCTGCTGCTGTGCTGAAGTATACTCCTGCTGCTGTTAGAACGCTGGTTGGAAAGTATGCTAATGTGTACGACGAGTCGATTGGAAGAATCACCGGTTTTCAGGCGAAGCTATGCCTCAAACCGAATGCGAAACCAGTGTAAGTGAAAGCGCGTCCAGTCCCATTTTCTATGCGAGAAACTGTCGAAAAGGAGCTCAATACTTTGGTCGAAAATGGAGTCCTGGAGAAGGTGAACCACAGTGCGTGGGCGACACCAATTGTTCCGATAATGAAATCCAACAATAGAGTGAGGCTATGCGGCGACTTCAAGGTTACGGTTAATCCGAATCTGGAGATTGATGATCACCCGTTGCCGACGGTGGAAAGCTATGAAAATGCTGCTTTTCAAGCCACAGGTACAGATGGCTTGCCAAACCAGATATTTCTTTGCGAACTTTGACAGTTTCATGTGCTTGAAAACATCTGCTACCTTTCCCCTTCCTTTTGCCGTATAAAACTCCTGTCCCGGAAGCTGCTTGTAGTCGGCTTTGACGTAGGTTTCGTCGTCCATTACCACGCAGTCAAACTTCGTCAGCATCGTCGTTTACAGCCTCCGGGATCGCGCTTTGGCCGTCGTATTTTGTTTATCATCGCGATTTGGACTCACTACCTTCTTGTAAGTCGATAGTCCGGCTCGTTTTTTGGCTCGATGCACGGTTGTAGACGATACACCCAGCTTATTTGCGGCATCTCGGAGAGAGAGGTTAGGGTTTCGCTTGAAACTACCGGCAACTCTCTTTGTCGTCTCAGCGGCTTCCGGTTTTCGATTTCCCCCCGATCCAGACTTCCTGGCTGTCGACAAACGTTCCCCAAACACTTTAATTACATTTGTAACGGTTGATTTGGCAACTTTTAGCGATTTTGCCAACTTTGCGTGCGAGTAGCTCGGATTTTCGCGATGCGCGAGCAAAATTTTGATACGCTGCTCTTCTTGCTTGGACGGCATTTTGACAACTGAAGAGTGAATTCCAAAATCAAAATAGGAGCAACATTCTACACACACACACCTTCAAAATGAGGGGTGTTCAGGTTTTTTAAATGCAAAATTGAAAGAAATACGTCAAGTTGATATTGACCAAATTTTGACCGTATCACCCTTTATCTGGAAATATTTCGATACTAGAGACATTGTCCCAATCTCGGTTGATGTAGTAGATCAAATTATCTGAACTCCAGGATGATTAGAAGAACCTTGAACACCTGGATTACTCGGAAATAGATCATGCATGATCCACATAGACACTTTGAATCTGATTGGATATCGATACTACAGACATTATTGCAGTCTTGTTTGATCTAGTAGAGCAAATCAACTGATGTCCTGGACGATTTGAAAAACCTATAATTTTCGGTGTACATACTAATAAGTCGTGCATGATCCACAAAGTCACATATATACGATTCGGTTATGATTTGACAACGAAAAGTGCTAGGCTCATATTAGAAAAAAATAAATAATGAAAATGTCTCACCATTGGACAGAACCCAAGGAATATCCATGTAAATACACAACCGCGACGTGACCAAGAAGTGTGACATATGAAGCTCTGGTAATTTCTCGATTATGTGCAGGGTGTTTGGTTTGAATCGGTAAAACATTGAGAAAACTAGAGCCAAATGAACTACAACATTTAGGACAGCAAAATACGTCAAGAAAATTTGCATTTCAAATGAAAATGTATTTTTTTTTTAAATTATGTCTAGGCCGGTATTATTCAATAGAATCTCATAATGTAAGGGTGTTTTATTATGTTCACTAATTACTCAGAATTTATACTATACATAAATAACTGAAGATGATACAATGTAATGTTAAAAAATAAAATTAAAAGTCACAAACGATACTCCTTTAGCCCAGTCGGTAAAGGCGCAGCTACAAAGCAAGTCCATGCTGGAGGCGACTGAGTTCGATTCCCGTCCGGTCTATTAATTTTTCGGGTTGTAAAATTTCTCTATTTTCTTGGGCATAGTGGTACGGGCATAGAAAGCTCTCAATTATAATGTGAGGGTACTTCAAAGAACACTTAGTTGAGAGCAGGTAAAAATCTAAAATGCTATAAGCTTGAAATGCCATGTAGTAGTATACAAATGCTATTTTTAGGCAATGATTTTTTTTTTTTTTGGCGTGGATTAGTATTTGAAGTCGCGGATTTCTTTTCAAAAATCGCGGATTTCGCGGATCAAATTTAGAAAATCTTGTAACAGCCCTGCAATCGATGCATTCGATCGACACCGAATGAAATGGTCCCGGTGGGTCGAAAGGCTGGAAGGTGCATTTGTGTTGTTTGGGGTACGGGAGGAGACGAAACTCTACATGCTACTTCACTTCATGGGAGGTGAGACCTACGATACTGTTTGCGATAAGCTTGCACCTGAGAAACCGCAGACGAAGACGTACGATGACATTGTGGGCGTGTTGGAGACTTATTTCAATCCAGAACCACTGGAAATTCACGAAAATTTTCGCTACAAATGCCGGAAGCAGGGAGACGAACGTCCAGAGGAAACCATCGACGAGTACCTGATAGCTTTACGCAAGCTGGCTATCACCTGCAACTTTGGGGACTATCTGCATACAGCCCTGCGGAACCAGCTAATTTTCGGATTGAAGGACCGGGTGATACAGTCCCGACTACTGGAAGTGCGGAACCTTACGTTGGAGCGTGCAAGAGAAATTGCAGTGTCAATGGAGCTTTCGTCCAAGGGCGGACGCGAAATACAGTCGCGACAGGGGAAGCCGGAAGTCAACCTGGTGGAACCACATCGAGGAAACACGCAGCAAAAATGAAGGTAACAAGTGCAAATTACGATAATAAAAATAAAGCGAAGTTGGGTTCGGGAAAGAAAGGAGAATGCTACCGTTGCGAACAAATGCCTCCATATTCGCACAAGGTGCAACTATTGCAAAATGACAGGGCACTTGCAAAAGGTGTGCTTGAAGGCGAAGAAGGAGAAAGGTGGTAAATCAGAAGCTCATTTGCTGGAGGAGGCTGCTGGTGGTACCAGTCGGAAGGAAAGTGAATTGGTGACATTGGAGGAAATTTGCAAGCTCGAGCAGCGGTGCAAGCCGTCGACTACCAAGTTTTATTTGGAAGTGATGGTGAATTGTGTTGCTATCCGTTTCGAGGTGGACACCGGGGCTCCAGTCACAATCATCAGTGCAGAGGATAAGAAGAAATACTTTTCTGCGGAGAATCTGCTGCCTTCGGATCTTGAGCTGGTGAGCTACTGCAACAATCGAATTAACGTCGAGGGGATGCTAAAAGTCACTGTGGAGTACCGTTCGAAATCATTTGACGTACCATTGTACGTGTCGAATGTTCGGAAGCATCCATTGCTGGGACGCCAGTGGATTACAGGGATGCAGATTGATTTGAACGACGTAGCGCATTCAGATGTGCATGTGCTGGACAGTTCTGCTGCTGTGCTGAAGTATACTCCTGCTGCTGTTAGAACGCTGGTTGGAAAGTATGCTAATGTGTACGACGAGTCGATTGGAAGAATCACCGGTTTTCAGGCGAAGCTATGCCTCAAACCGAATGCGAAACCAGTGTAAGTGAAAGCGCGTCCAGTCCCATTTTCTATGCGAGAAACTGTCGAAAATGGAGTCCTGGAGAAGGTGAACCACAGTGCGTGGGCAACACCAATTGTTCCGATAATGAAATCCAACAATAGAGTGAGGCTATGCGGCGACTTCAAGGTTACGGTTATTCCGAATCTGGAGATTGATGATCACCCGTTGCCGACGGTGGAAAAGCTTTTCGCCACTGTAGCTGGT